GCAGTCTTTATGTGACCAGGACTTGCACATCCAGCACTGCAGCAACACTTCCCTGGATATTTAACCCTAACCCTACCCAGCTGCAACCCTCCCCAAACTGTCAGAGCTGACAGAACAACATGTGCTAGCTAGGTACGCACATTGTAGCCCATGCTAAAAATTTAACTTTGATGTAAAAAAGGCAATGATTTAATCTACAAAGTTCAAATTAATTTAAATAAACATCAAAAGAGTATGACATTAAACCATGTGAGAAAAATTCCATTCAAACTTAAAAAACGTGAAATTTAGATGATGATCTTGAATGTGTCTTCTGGTGATTTTAGGGGTTAGAGCATGTGCAGTAACAATGTCACCAAGATAGCATGTTTCTGACTGGAAAAAAAGGGACTCCTTGCAACTGTCCCCAGTCTCCCCTCTTGTTTTAGACTAATCTTTTATTTTGTATGGCCTCTTTTTTTGTCAATTGTGTGTGTAATTGCTTGTGTAATTGTGTGGTGGTTGCTACTATACTTATTTCTAAGTATCTTCCTTTGGGGATCAATAAAGTGGAAAGGCATTTACCCTTGAGGATGGACTTAAACACAACTGCTAAAAGATCCCAACATTTTGAGATGTCAGTGTAACTAGAAAGGTCTAGAAATGGTCAGTCCATAGAGTTCAACCCAATCTCATCAGCTCTGAATATTTGTAGAGCATCTAACAGGGTAAAATAATGTTGAATCTGAGCTGTGGATATCTGCAGCCCTTGGCATGTAATAACTATTGCTCAGATTCATTGCCATGCCTTGGCAGATGTATAGTCTTCTGTACTATTTCCATTTTCAGACAGTGTTCTTACTGATGTTCAAAACTTAGGATACATGTTGCTCTAGATTTTATTTAGGGGTATCCATGTTAAAGGGCTAAACATTAATGCTGTCTAAACTTTTCTTTTTTGGTGTTTCCTATTACCTTCATTTCACAGATAGTTAAAATCCCAACAACATTTGACATTTAGGCATGTCATTTAACGAAACAAAACGTTAGGCAACTGCAGGCCACTCTAACTGCTTTTCGTTGGTTATGATGTATTGGCATGCATCTTAAAAATGTGCCGGGTTCCTTGACTTATATTTTTACATCCCTGTTCAAAAATAATATCAGGGAAATTCTATTAAAGCTACAGTGTGTAATAATTACAGGGATATACAGTCAGAAATTTAATATATTATACATAACTATGTTATTTATCATCATCTACGAGCTCAGCCTCTTAACCTTAATATTTGCGTTGCCTTAGAATTCGTTATTTATAATTACATAGGAGCGGGTCTCGCAGCCATGGAGGCAGACATCTTTGCGCTACGGCAGCGCAGAGCCAACAAACTAGCGATTGCGAGATCGCCCATTACGCTCGAAAGTAACTACGGCAAGTTGAGAGAGATGAACTGAGACGGTACTGAACAATAGATGGCAGTATTAAAATTATCTATGTAAACAAACCTCATCACTTGAGAAGGTAGGTGATGCGGACGTCGTGGAAGACATTTTGTCCCGTAACGCTCGCCGAACTGTTGGGGGGGAGAAGCGGTGGGGGGGAGATGTTCATGTTGCTGCGGTCTGCAGTCTGGACGTTAGATGTCGCTGAAAATTATACACTGTAGCTTTAAAATATGATCAACCTACGGAAGCGTATTGCATTCACCGAAGGAAGAAAAAAATCAGACAGCTTATCTCATAATTACGAAATCTGTATCTCGTAATTATGAGTTATTATCTCGTAATTATGAGATCTTTTCTCATAAGAAAAAAGATGTGATCTCATAATTATGAGACAAAATCTCGTAGTTATTATCTCGTAATTACGAGATAGGATCCCGTAATTATAAGATCTTTTCTCATAATTTTATCTTGTAATTTTATCACGTAATTATGAGATCATACATTTTCTCTTATGAGAAAAAATCTCATAATTACGTGATATGATCTCATAATCACGAGATAAAAATCTCATAGTTACTATCTTTACTACTATATTTTTCTTTGGTGACTGTAATACGCTTCCGTATCAACCAACACCAATCATAATAAAGAACTTATTGAAGGTAGGGTTAAATTATATACCATAGCCAGACAGATAATTCTGAATGTATTTTAGAGAAAATTTGTCATGTGTTCCAGTATTTTTATGGTACATTATTTGCAATCCACCATTTTCCTGCAACGTGATTATTTTCTTCAGATCATACTGTAGCCATTCAGGCCCCTGGACCTTATTATAAGCACTCCTGTGCTTTCTCTGCCAACCCGTCTATCTTTACAAGGTTTCGCTCATGGCCTCGATCGGATTTCAGGGTCAATATGTGATAGCCTAAGTGAGGAAATGCTTTGTCTCTAGTTACACTACCTAGTTTAAAGCTGATTACCAAATGACTAACCATATTCCAATGCCATTTGCTGCATGAACAAACTTACTGTCACTATAACACCATTAGCCTTGGTGTCACAGAGAGGTGTTAGTAACAGACTAATAGCGTTTAAAAAAAAATGCACTGCTTGATTTTCCTTGATGATGGGTTTTATCTTTTTTTTTTTACCACAGAGGAGCATTTTTAAAATATGTGAAATAAATGTCCGAAAGAGATTACATTCTGTGACCCATTTTAAATACAGAGGATGATTTTGACACAAACTCAGCTTGATTGCTTGTTCTAATAGAGTCGGGGATTACTATTGAAGACATCAAACCCCAATCAGTATTCTTTTCAAAGAAATTGTTTTTAAATTTGGATTCTCTTGGCAGGAGGACTTCAGATAAGGGCAATAATGCAACTCAAACCTTCGACATGTTTATATCTCATTTCAAGTCTGTCTCACTATATAGAGATTAAAAACTACCATACTGTGTGCAGTGATACTGGTGTTCAGTTAAAGGCTTAAAGGCTCTTGGATTGATACTGAACATGTTTTGTATGAAGGTGACAGATGGCCTAAACTTGTTCTTTGAAACTTCTCCAGGCCAACAACTGGTCTGCAAATAGATAAATCAGAATCCTATTATTCTCTAAAAAAAAAAAACTTTCTAAAGCTCTGACCTTAAGTCTTCAAGAAGGTGTTTGTCTGCTAAGGGGATATATAATTTAAATATAAAGCCAGAATTATGCCAACGACTTGCTGGTGGCAACAAAAAGGGGTTTGTTTGATCTGCAAGATGCAGGGAAATTCAACCGAATATTAGATAGATTAAACAAATATATCTGAGCCTGCATGTCTAGTTTTTAATCTATGATGAGGAAATAGATTGAGTATATACTAAAAAAAATCAGCAAATAAAGTAAAACAAAAGTGAGTGGTTTCAGGTTTTTTGTGGAAAAAAGCAATAAGCAGTTTGGTGAGGTGTGCAAAGCTTAAAAAGACAAACCGAATAAAATTTAAAGCAGCAATGATAAATGAGCAGTTATTACCCAATCAATAAAATCCTACGAAGCTTAGATTATCAGATTACTTGACAGACTATAAAATCATATGAATATTTGTCTGGGAACAATGTGGCTTTTTTAAGAAAGCAAAGAAATGCTTCTCAGCCACAATGTATTGCTTTGTTTCAGTGTTTTTATGAGTTATAAATATAATGTCTAATACTGTGTAGAGGTGAAATGGGAAAATGGAACGAATGCATTTTAATTAGCATTTACACTATCCTGTTACTCCAAACTGGGGCAGCTATTTATAGCTATGCCACTTATGCATAAAAGATCATTCAGACAGAAAAAACTCAACATTTATCATAATCTATAACCTTTGGAACATATTTTTGAAATGGTACAAACAAAGATAGTGTTAACCTGAAATATTACATTTGCAATATAGCATTATGATGTTTTTTGTTTTGTTTTTTTTTTTTATTCTGAGGTACATGTTTATATTTTTTAGTCTGTTTCCCCTTTCCAGGTAGGCTGAGTCTACTAAATTTAACATAATAAACTAGACAAGGTTTGGTTGTCACTTTGCTTATTATTGACACATTATAAAATTCTGGTGGGAATAAAGATTTGACCAGAAGGTGTATTTATTTATGTTTCTTTTGTGGTCATTTAACAAAAAACATTAGACAAAGAATTATAATCAATCATATGCTACTAAAGAAGCCTGCCCAAAAGTGGGCTATAAACATTAATGCACAGAAATAGACTGAAATATAAAGTTATGTAGAATGTAAATAAAATACATTAGAGGTTTATCTACATAACCAACAGTAACAAAATGACACAAAGGTTTACAAGGCACGAAATAACTTTTTAGGAAAAGGAAAACACAAGGTTTAGGGCGATTTCAGTTTGATAAAAGATTTTAATTACTGCAAATAGATAAGAAAAGATCCATTTAATTATATGAATAAATAAATACATATATACACGCATATATACACACATATACATACATAAACATATATATATATACATATATATATATACATAGATATATATACATATATCTATGTATATATACGTATATATATTGTATATATATATATGTGTGTGTGTGTGTATATATCAAACCTAATCCTACATATATGACATAATTTGGACCAGCAGCTGTAATTTTCCTTATTGTTAAGTAAAAATCAAAGACTGTGAGAACCAACCCTAACCCACCGCGGTCTACTTTAAACATTTATTTCTAACAGGCGTTTTCTAACAGGCTGACTAACAACTAGCCTAGAAAGAAAATCTCCACGTTTATCAGAGAAAGCATAAATTCCTTCTCCCTAACCGGCGTCAATACACCGGACGGAACACACTTCCCTCACTGTTCACTCCAAGTGTGTAAAAAAACGTACTAATCATCCCCAGTAAGTCGGGATATAGTCCTAATTTTAAGAGATTTTATTTATTTATTTTTTTAGATCCATGGTGTCGCGTTAAGGTCATTCCGTGGCTGCCTGAGTTCCCCCCTTTGTGTTTACACATCCGGGTTTCCCTGTTTGCAGCCCATTCCCCATTTAGAAGCCATTTTGGACACAGATCAGTAACATGCATGTAAACCCCCGACCGACCTCCCCGACGCAGCGCTGCTACTATTTCAGCGAATAAGCTCAGAAAACAACGTTGAGACGTCCATTCAGACGCTTGGACCGGTCGGTGAAGCCGTTTCCGATGCGAAATGCGGCACCTTATTCTGGACTAACCGCCCGGCAGTCAGTTAATCGCTCCTTTTCTTTGCAACATTGTTGCAGCGTCGCGGCTATTGATACGCGCTGTGGTGGAGGAGGAGGTGGTGGTGGTGGGACCGAGGAGGCCTGTGGTCGGTTTAATCCTGGACTGATGTTTTTAGTCAACCTGAGTTTTAATGTTCGCGAAAGAAAGAGGACGAAATCGCTGTCCTTTATTTAAAGCGGAACATGTCTTTTTCATGGCTGACTTGTTCACTTCTTCTGGGAACTTTATGCGCAGGTAAGCAGCTTTTCTTTTCTTTCTTTTATTAATGGCTGTTATTTAACCGTTTTGTTAAAGGGGAAAAAATAGTGTTAAATTCCGACCCTCGTTTAAACTTTAGTGGCACTGGGATTTAAATCTCTCAGCGTTAATCCTCTTTGACCGCTGTGCTTAAATTTCCCTCTTAAAATGTAGTAACCGCAGTAGGTGTATCTTTATATGTCCCAAAGCTTTAAAAATACTCGTAATTCGATAGTTCTGTGATAAGAAGTTAAAGTAAAACTGTTGCACGCCTTCCCCAACGGTGGCAGGAATAGAAGGCAGCAGCTGCATCAACATCCTGAAACCTCATACACTGAAAAAAGACATTTGGAGGCTATTCAACTTTAATCATTAATGTAGATTTATGATTGGAGAATTCTTTAATTTTAACTACTTTTATTTGGCAATACAGCCAACATTTAAATAGAAATAAACATTTTAAATTAGACTTAAATTAAACTTTTTTTTTTTTTTTTTTTACCTGTTTCATTGCTTCCTGCTTTCATTTTGTACCCATCACTGAATCTTTGCATTTTATTCCTGTGTATAAACCTTCATTGGACCTGTTGGTTGTATTTTTTCACAAGATGCTTTCTTCAACGAGTCGTTTTTACACTCTGATTTCATTTTATTTGGATTCCAGTCCTTGTTTTGACCAGTTTACTCTGAGGAAATATGAGATTTTATTAACCTTAGGCAAACCAAAACAAGTTTTATCAAATTCTCAGCTCATATTTACTCGAGGACATAAAGCCAAATTACTTTGGAGACTTGGGTGGATTTTATGAAATTTCTTCAGATAAGCTGTTGCAAATGCAGGTACTAATTGTTGCCTTAATTAGTACAAATTGGTCCATTGTCTGCACAAAAGTTCTTATAAAAATAACCTGCCCATAAGCTCCCTAAAGTAACCAGGATTAGAAAGGTATGGAATGCCAAAAGGGAGAAAATCACCAACAACCAGATCATCCAGAGTTACAAGAAACAACTAACATAAAATGTCAAAAGAGTGAGAAATATAACATGAATATGTAACTAAAGAATGTGTAGCAGACGGTGCCCAACATGGCTGCCGATGGCATAAAGCTCTCATCCATCTAATATAAATAATTTGGAGGCAGGGAACATTTTCCTAAAGAATTTATGTCACTGAAAGGGTTATCTCTGGTTCAGTTTGATTTCAGGTTTTGATGTTATAATTTAAGGTCTTTATACTTTTATATTGAAGGTAACATTCTCCTGCTATCCTCAATAAGCAAGCAGTGTAGGAGTTTATTTAGGTTTACACAGCTGGCAGCCATGTTGGTGGCTCCATGTGTCATAGTGGTGTTGCTTATTCTCATTGGTTGTTTGGTGTCTAGTAGAGAACATTTGTGCTGTATATTTAAAACATATTTCATGTTTAAAAAATGTTGGGTGGGTAATGATGCTAAAAAAGGAATGTTGTGTGAAAAAAAAATGAGATGCCATATTAAAAAAAAAATGAGATGTACAGATGAAGAACTACAGCATTTTAAATGTCCAGATGGGTTAATGCCCCATCAATTTACTGTAGAAAAAAAAAATATTTTTTTGATCCAAAATAGAAAAATGTTTTAGTTTTAAAACCTCCCATGTTGCTGCAAAATGTTCAATCAACAATATTCATGTTGTCTTTTGTTTTAGTTGCGGTAAATGTTATTGGCCTGACTTGTATTTCTTAGATAAACAAGTTCTTTGCTATTAAAACATATTTTCATCATTTAAAATAAGTAACCCTAACAATATAGAAAGGATTTAGATTTTCAGTTTAAACATAATGTTGAAACTCCAACAGTAAGACAAAATCCAGCTTCTGATGAAAAACAGACTTCACTCAGGTTAACCAAGCAGGTTCACAGAAATAAAAAAAATCCTTGTCTTTAGATGGGTGTGGACTATTATTCAATATCATTTTTTATATCACAATAGAATATTATTTAATTGCAGTGACATGACATTTGTTATATATCAGCACACATTACAGTCTATTATTACAGCGTTTGCCATGGACTGACAACTTGGGCTTTGTGTGGTTTTGTTTTGTAATCATATATTTCAATAAAGTTATATTGGCAGACTCGTATAACTAGGCAAAATTATTGTCATGTGTTTTTACAGGATGCTGCTGTGGGCATTCTTTACCTCATTTCTGAAATCAGGAGATGCATTGAGATATAACTTCTGGTCCTAAACTCAACCCATACAATCATGCTTTGAAAAAGAGTTGTAGCAACAACAAAAAAATCAATGCTTATTGTCCTGCAGCCAGCAGCAGCAAATAAAAAGCATATTTTATTTTTTAAATTACATTTTAAATTATATTGCTCAGCAACATCATTTCCATGCAGAGACTAAACCAATTTTATTTTGGTTCAACTTGTTTATTTTGTGGGTTTATTTTTGTTGCAGCTCTGGGCAGGAATGTGGAAGAAATGCTTCTTTCTGGATTCATTCTTTATTTTTCAGTAAATTAGTGGTATTTGATCAGCACAGGCAGCAGCTGATTCAAGGCTAAACTAATTTTGGATCTGAGGTTACTGTTACACGCCCTTGACACCATGTGAAACTAAGCGTGGAGGATTTTATATTATTTTTTTTCTCTATTATTTGGCTGGTTTATGTGGCCGTTTGCCAAACAGTTCTTTGCCTTATTCCCCAGATGTAAATAAAGTATTCTTCAAATAGTTTTGAACAGGTATGCTTGTAATCAATGTTCTATTTTTTTTTTTAACTGCAGCTGTTGTAGAAGCTGTCTTTGAGTTTTAAATATCTCTGCAGCTTATGCCTTTATGGCTTATGGATCAGGAAATGGAGTAGGTAGGCTATACAGTAAGCTGCTTCTCCAGAATTCATGTTTGTTGTGTAAAAGCCCAGTAAAGTGACAGAGGGGGAGGTGGATTTGGGAGGAGGGTGATGATGTTGTAGTAAAAGTCCTCTTGGATCATGTGACCACGGATATCAGAAATGCCATCTCGGCTCAGTGGAGCATTGAGCATCACTGCTGTTAGTGAGTGTGAGTGAATGCATGTGCTCTGCTGTTAATACCTTTTTTTCCGTCCCTCCTTTGTAATAAGCATGGTGTTTGGTCATTTCATGCATCCACTGTATGATATAATGTCTATTGTGTGCTGCTGGACAGCTAAATGTGTGAATGTGTTTGTGTAAGTGACTGTGTGTGTAATGGGTGGTGGGGGTGAAGTTGGGGGATGGGCAGGCTCCTATAGGCAGGGATTTAAAGAGACAGGCTCTGTTTTTTTCCCCCTCTGAACAAAGATTGAGCCTGAATGTCCAAGCTGTATACTGACCAACCTGCACTACTTGTTATCTGCCTCTTTACTTGGCGTGTTCCCGGTGTGTCCGACATCAAAGCCTATAAGAGCATTAACTAAAGGTTTCCATTGTTGAGTTTGAAGATTGCTGTTGTTACATTTAAGCTGAGGTGAGCAGTAATTCTTTCAGGATAAATGCTATTTAAAAATGGCATCTATTCTTACAAATGCATCAGCACTTTTCCATTTAATGCCTTTAAAAAGTATTCACACCCTCAAACATTTTCACACATGGTCACTTTATAACCCTGAGGTTCAGTGCACTTTACTGTGATTTTAGTAGGGATGGAAATGACACATGAATTGGAAAATTCCCATGTGTCCAATTTTTGACAAACTGTCACAAAGTTTAAAAAAACATTTATATATATTTTTTTGTTTCAGTGGCAGCAATGCGGAGGGGTGGAAAATATTCCATGCTGCTGTCTTTGTTTATTTCCGTCTAAAAATGTGGCTGTGGTTTCCAATAATGACCATTTGAACATCCTGAAATCAATATTGTTCCTAACTGGGTCATAGTCCTACTTCGTTGATGTACCACTCTATGTCAGAATGGTCAGATGTGACCGTGTCCCCCATGAAGTAATCATCTCAGAAGAATGACAGCATTGCATCCACCTGTTTTGCATCTTTTGCAGGCCCGTACTGATCATCATTGCGTGTAGCATCACCTGAGACCACACAGAGTCTTGCACAGATTCTCGAACCTCTTTGGTCATAAAGTTTAGGTGTTTAGTGGTGTCAATCCAAAAATGATTCATTGAATTGGTTACATTTAAAGCAAAATACAAGCGCAAAAAAAAGTAAAGTGCAATATAAAAATACCACAAGACCCACCCCCTCGACACTTTGTCTGTTTTTGTCACCAAAAAGTCCCTTTTGTAGATTTTTTGTGATAGACCACAAAATATTGCACCGTCATAAAAAGGTGTGGAAATAATATATGGAATATTAGGAGTTTCAAAATGTTTTAACTATGAAAACAAAAAGAGAAAAAGTGGCATACATTCAACTCCTTTACTCCCTACAACCCTAAATAAAATGAATATAAACCACTTGCTTTCAAGTAGGATTAAACGATTTTTCCTAAAGAACTAAATTTTGGTTACTTTCAACCAATATTGCCATTTTATTACGATTCAGTTTTTTCATGACCTTGAAAGCTTGCTTGCTCAGCTTGTTCAGAGTCTGGTACTCATCATTCTTCTTCCTCCAAACACGTTTAGTGGAATTATTACGAAAAAGTTCTATTTTGGTCTCATCTGACCAGATGAATTTCTCCCATAATTCCTCTGGATCATCCAAAGGGTCATTGGCAAACTTAAAACAGGCTTTAACATGTGCGTGTTTAAGCAGGGGAACCTTCAGTCCCATTTATGATTTCAAACCATGATGTCTTGCTGTATCACCAACAGTAACCTTGGAAATGGTGGTCCCAGCTCTTTACAGGTCATTGACCAGCTCCTCTTGTTTAGTTCTGTGCTGATTTCTCACCTTTCTTAGGATCATCGAAACTCCACGAGGTGAGATCTTACATGGAGCCCCAGTCCGAGGGAGATTGACAGTCATGTTTAGCTTCTTCAATTTTCTAATGATTGGTCAAACAGTGGACCTTTTTTCACCAAGCTACTTGGCAATTTCCCCATAGCCCCTTCCAGCCTTGTTGAGGTGTACAATTTTGTCTCTAGTGTCTTTGGACAGCTCTTTGGTTTTGACCATGTTAGTAGTTGGATTCTTACTGATTAAAAGGGGAGGACAGGTGTCTTTATGCAGCTAACGACCTCAAACAGGGGCATCTAGTTTGGCATAATAAATGGAGTGGGTGTGGGCTTTTTGAAGGCAAACTAACAGGTCTTTGAGAGCCAGAAGTCTAGCTGATAGGCATGTGTTCAAATACTTATTTGCAGCTGTATCATACAAAGAAATAGTTAAAAAAGTAATTTATTGTGATTTCTGAAATTCTTTTCTAGATTACGTCTCTCACAATGGACATGTACCTAAGATAACAATTTCAGACCGCTCCATCGTTTTTTAAGTGTGAGAACCTGCAAAATAGCAGGGTGTTCGGATACTTGTTTTCTTTGTATATATAGAATGAGGGAGAGAGAGAGAAGTGTCAAAATTCTGGTCAATCGGTATTGTTAGTCGTTTGTTTTGCAATGGTGTTGCAGGGAAATATTTTGATACCGTCCAGCTCCACTTTGTCCATTTTACATAATGGATAAATATTGCAAAGTTCAACGTAACTGTAAACCTATCGTCTGTGACCATCTACAAAAACTGATTGGTTGGGAAAGCGAAGCAGCCAAGAGCCCATTGGTAACTCTGGAGGTGCAGCAGAGATCCATAGCTCTGTAATGATGCGGATCATCAGCTTTAACACAATGTGATTATATATTGACAGGTTTGGATGTTTGCAAATATATCATGATTCGATTTTCCATTCAACTCGTAAATTCCTATGCAAAATCTCCTCATCTGACAGATTTAAATTAAATCGCAAATAAATACAGTTGAACATGATTTTATAATGTTAATTTTCAGGTATTACAGGCATCAAGCATTTCAGTGAAAAATAGCATGATGTGGTTCAGTGTTTTCATTTTATTATTATTCATTCATCTATTAAAGTATCCTTTATCATTTCATAGATGTAATGATGTATTGGTACACCCCTATGACTTAAGTGGGGGGTCTGTCCACATTGTGGTTACTATGCGAGGTCCACAAATCAGTATTTTATGGTAAGAAATAAATAAATATGTTTGCAGTTTTCAAAAACGCATAGGGGAAAAATGTAAACCTGTCAAGAAAGATGTTGTGGTTTAAAGAGATTATAATGTAACCTCGCTGTCTGGATGTTTGTAACTTTAACAGCACAATGGGGTCCTCATAAAGGATTGTTTGGAAGGGTTTGAATACAAAAGTATGCCATACTAAAAAAATAAAAAAATAAAAAAATAAATAAAAAAAAGGTTATATACTCTTAAACTCACAACAGTGAACCTCATGTTTCCACCTGTCACGTGAAGTCCAAGAAACCCATTGATGCTTATGGTAGTTTGCGGAGTATGAAAACCGTTGGAAAACCCAGTAGTAGTAGCTGTAGTAAGTCAATGCATGTTGGGTTTCTATGCAACAGCAGGCATCTCATTGTTTTATAGCTAATTAGATTTGATAATTTCTCTGAGCGTTTAGCTTTTTTTTCTTTTCTGAATAGATCATTTAGTCAATGGGATTATGCTGAGCCAGTATTCAGCAACAATTTCTTAGCCCAGAGGAACTCCCTTTTTTTCCCCTTCTTTTAGCAAAGAACGCTCCCAAAATTGGCTACATGCCAATTAGATGATGGTGTCTGCACCGAGATGTGGTGTTTTTATAACACAATGAATTCCGAGCCATTTGTTGTGCAAGCTTCCCCTTCTGGGGTCAATTCACTGCAATTCATGCTGACCGTGTCCTTCTGTCCACATCAGGGTACAGTCTGGGAGAGGTGGAGACCCGAGAATGTGTGTACTACAACGACAACTGGCGAACAGAGAGGACCAACCAGAGTGGCTTTGAGCGCTGTGAGGGAGAAAAGGACAAGCGGCTGCACTGCTACGCATCCTGGCTCAACTCCTCAGGGACCATCAAGCTGGTGAAGAAAGGCTGCTGGTTGGATGACTTCAACTGCTATGACAGGTTCGGTCAACACATTTTGCGTATTTCTTGTGGGTTTTGTCGAGGTTTGAATGAATAATGAGGGCAGCAGAATCTCCAACATCCGAATCCACATTTGGTCTAACCCAAATTATTGTAGCCCTCATCCTGAAACACTGACAGCAGATTGATAACACATATGGGCTTGATTTCTAATAGGCAATAGCCTCACAAATGTGAGCATTGGCAAATTTCTTCTTTCTTCAAGCTTTGTTGCTTTTGTAGGTTATGGAAAAAATGTTATCTCATAATTTAAGACTTGTTTTAATTTTTGTATTTCTGTACAGTATTTCCACGAAGGTCCTTTTTTAAATTTATTTTTCTTAAACAGAGACACAGCAATTACCAATGTTTCGTAGAAGATAGTATACTGGTTATCCCAGATTACCATTAAGTTCATTATTCGAATGTTGATGCGTTATGCTTCCAAACAGGAATGGCACTTGAAGCTTGCCAGTTGGGGTTTCAAATCAGCATTTCCCTGTTAAGAGAAAGGGGTAGCATTTCTTTAGATTCCTTATCATAAGAGAGACTTAACTTTTCAAGGTGTTCAATGACATCTATATAAATGCAGACTGGAAGAACCACAGTTCTGGTATTATTGGACCATTTAAGACTGTTGATCACTGCAATTTTTAAGAGTGTTTTGGAAAGCTGGGTCAGTCTTTCTCGTGCAACACTCAGCTGGTTTAAACCTTCCCTCCAGGTTAGGTCTCTTTTTGTGTCAGAAGGTAACTTTGCATCAGAGACCCCCAAATTTCACGTGGTGTTCCCAAGGGTCCATCTTAGAACTCCTCCTATTAAATATCTATATTCTCCCTCTAACTCAGACCTTAATAAACAAAAACATAGGTTACCATTAGTGTTGCACCAATACCGATACCAGTATCGGA